CAAGCCGAAGCCTTTTCACGATGGCTTTGGTCTAGGGCCGGCTTTGATCCCCCAAATCTTAGGTTTTGCATCACCGAACCCGCACCTTCGGTGTCCAGGTTGTCCTGAAAGCTCTTCCAGGCAGCCTTCAACTCCTGAAGCATGTTGAAACCTCCCCCCTGCTCGTCACTGCGACTTGCAAGCTTGACCTCCACGGCCTAGTTCCGCTCACCACCTTATGTTTTGGAAAGCACGCGGAGAGCATGTTAAAAAAGCCGCAAAATGGGTGGTCTTCCGTTCGCCTCGCTTGAAAATGAACCCAAAAAGGGCTCCCCTCAACACAGACACGCAAACACGCCCATGTGCTTGTGCTGTGTGTGTGTGGTGTTCGCCGAGTTTTGCGTTTTCAACAGCCACGACCCCTTCTGTTTCAGCTTGGTGCAGCTTGGTTCAGCTCAGGCATCGAAGCCCCCTTTGCTTCGGCACACATGTGCCTCGACTGGACACAGCCCTCCATACACGTTTGGCCCAGCCTAGGTATCCTTTTTGGGCTCAGGCAACCCACAAGCAAATGACCGGATGTTGGCCTCCTCCTTCGCACCTTCTGCTGCCGTTCGGCTTACTTGCCTCAAGGCCTGCCACAAAGCTGTCGCATCCCGTCGCAGCAAATCATGCGACGCAGGCCGAGCGGGATGATCTGCGAATGGGGGACGCTATTTTCAGCAAGCTCAGCAGCCCGAAAAAAACAGTGCCCAACAAGGCACCGCACACTCACAAATAGAGCACATGTAACTTTGCAGTCGGAAGTTGAATTAAGCGACCACGGCAAATGCCTTCTATCCTTCTAAGAATTTCTAAGACTCAAGAACAGCTAGTTCTCAGCACGTCGGAGTTCCAAGCATTGCTGCAAATATTTGTCACCCAGCTCTGAATCAAACCTCTTTCCACCTACTTGGCTTGTGCAAAGAGACGCGTGCTCTGCAATCTGAGACCCCTTGATATCTGTCTTTAACATGTAAACCGATTGGTAGCCCGAAAAAAAGGCTACGCAAGTTTTTCAGAATGCGCTTTTGCAAACCTCCTTCACTCGCCTTTCGGAGATCGTCCAGCTTCTCTTCAGCGAAGCTGCGGCGCAGGCGCTCCAGGATGGCGTCGTTGCTGGCGGCTTCGAAGTTTGGAAGACAACTTGACTTTTGGGGAAGCCCCCTGCGCACTTCCATTGTTGGAAAGAGGGTGGTTAGGTCTTACTCGTAGACCATCATTGACCACAGCAGAGCCTAGGGTGTCCTTTTGGAAATGCAATTGGACTGGCAGATGGTTGGAAAGAAAGTGAGACTAATCAACCCAATCAAACTGACCAAAAGTGGAGTCCTGGCGGAAATCACATTCATGGGCTGCTGCCTGGCTGGAGTGCTGCTGATCATGATCCATGGAAAGGCCAGGGAACAACTCAGGATTCACGGCCTTTTAAGGGGAGACCATCGAGACCTCGACTCGTTTCTCTGAAACTTCCAGCTGATCCGCAGCATCCTCAACCTGATCTTGTTTTTGGTAATCATTTCTACCTCAGATTCTACCCCAAACTAAACGGAACAATGTATTGGCGGCTCATAGGCGTTGGGCCTCTTGCAACTTCCTCAGAAGCTGGGAGGAACAAGCAAAGCTTCCCGTTCGCACAGCGCCGTTATAGGTTGTCCGATTTTCTCTGCAATAGCCTGGAACTATCTGGAACTGCTATAGGGCGGGTTGAGCTGGCTACATCAGCCTGTTGCATGCCAGTCTTGGTTTCGGATCCTGACTGCGGTTCCGAATCAAAAACAACTCCAGGCCGGGCATTGAACCTGCGCGCCACAGCGAACATCGCCCGCTTTGTTCGAATTCGATGCGTGCCTGCCCTTCCCAGGCTCAAAGGACCTGGCCAGGCTCAAGCTCTTTGTCACCTGACGGGTTTAGGAGCCTCTCTAAGCATGAGCCCAGTCAGGACCATCTTTGGAAGTCTGGGAGGCCTATGGCATGAGGGCCTTGGCATGTGAGCATCCTTGTCCTAGCTCAACTTTGCGACTTTGCATCCATGCCGCGCAGAACGGGCAAGGATGCGCACAAACACGGTCACTGACGTGCCAAAGCAAATGTCTTCGACGTTTTGGGACAACAAGCGATCACAGATTGCACTTGCAGTAGTCGAATCATATTGTCTCTCTATACGACGTGTTTGGTTTGGCCTTGGAAGCATGCATACTACTCAACAAGCCAGCCAGCCAAGGCACAACTGGTAGCCCAAACATTCCTCTTGTTCCCGCTTCAGGGTCCATGTTCGCGCAAATCGGAAGTCACATCGTATTGCGGCCGCTCGGTGCTACGGTGCCACAGCCGCTTTTGCCCATGGTTGCTGAGGGTGTGCAAAAGCAAAGGACCCTGGCAAATGATTGGTTTCACGGTAGTTCCCCAGTCGCCCTCAATAGCATCAAGCATCACTGGCTTTGACACACGGCCCTTCAACATCTACCAGCTGTTCCGTCCCCGTCCGGCTAGCGCCAGTGGATCGTGAAAGGGAAAACATGTTCCATCCGAGGGCACCCTACCCTGTGGCAAGCAAAGCCAAAAAAAGGCACCTTTTGGCTATGCATCATGTAAATAAATTGCACATGTATACCCAACCTGATCGTGTGTTTGCCTGATTCTTTGCTTAGTTCTGCCCTATGCTCCATCTATTTCTCCCGTGGGTCCCACCTTTTTGCCTCTTCCAGCCTTGGGTACAGCAACTGGAACTGGCCAAAAAGGTTCCGCAGCTCCGGCGCCGGGCTCTGAGCCTCACTTCGGATTCCCTGAGACCCCCACTCGAAAAGTGGGCTTCAGTGTCCTTTCGGCTTCGGGAAAAAACAACAAAAATTGGCACCCCAACAAAAACCGGCCCAAACGTTGCAAGTAAGAGTGAACATAAATGCCAAACCGAAAAGCCCTTGTATGTCCACAGGAAGATGAAACCAAAATGGGCAGATTGCGCCATCTACTTGCACCCAACTGTAAACCACCCATTCGCACCGTGTTCTTTGAAGCCCGTGCTCGCCAAAGCCCACCCCAGGCCACCCCAATCCGCTTGGTCCACTGCAGCCCGCAGGCCAGGCAGGGCGAAATACAACAGAGAAATGCCTACTTTACAACATCACGGAAGGAGGACACTTTCAATCTCAACCCTGGTCTTCCAGAGGCTTGCAAAATGAGTGAGGATCTGGCGCGGACAACCGCAGTCGTCCACAGTATGTGATTTCCATCAAGAACCCCTAAACAGAGCTCCTTCTTCATCACGGTTCCGCATTTTGCTTGAGACCGCCCAATCTTTGCACACGCAGCTTCTCACACACAACTGAGCGAGACGTCGACTGTCAACCCAGTCGTTCACGGGTGTCGGTGAATTTGGGACGCGAGAAACTACTGGAGGCCCATGCAATAGGGTTCCCCTACTTTCCCGCTTGCAACATTTCGAGAGACAGCCGTAGTTCTCGCAATAGGCAAACTCGGAACCCCAAAATGGGGCGGGAGCCAACCCCCTACTTTGGATGTTGATAGGCCAACCAAAACAAAAGGCCAGGCAACCACCCCAGATCCAGCCACAACCACCCCAGATCCAGCCCGAGCAGTACAAACACGTCGCCCTGCCTGCAACCCTCGAACCAGCACATGGAAGAGAAGGTCCCTCCAGCAACTTGGCTTTCACTTGCCTCCTCATGTGGAAAGTACCCCTAGTCAAACTGGTGCCGCCCATTGCGAAGTCCGTAAAAGAACGGGTTCTCGCCTGCTGTGCGCCCCATTCAATGTCCTGCCCCTGAGGTGCCCTGCTTTGCAAAGACCATCGGCCAGCAAAATCATGAGGTAGGCCAGCCTGCAGCCCCAATGGCCGTTGGCAGCCCCCTGTCACTCTAAAAAAAGGCCCGCGGGATGCACATGCCCACAATCTCTACCAGAATGTGTCAGGGAGCCATGGTGAAACAGTCACACTGATAAAGCAGCCTACCTCGATCGGCAGAACGCCAGTTCCCAAAGAAGCTGCAAAAAGCAATCATTGCTGGTGGACGGCCTGGGGTCAGCTGCCCCGAGTTCGTGGGAGCTCGGGCCAAAAGGCAAATTAGCACATGTGAAAACAACCAGGGCCTGATGTCAGACACCAAAGCTTGACCCGACGAGACTTGTTGCTGGACATTTGCAAGTCGACTTGGCTGCATGTGTCCCGACATTCACCCGTTGCTCTGAAACCTAGGGTCAACATTTGGCTAAGGCTTTAAGAAATCGCTCGCGGCTTAAGCAGACGGATCTTTCGGCACCGCGACCCGAAGCCAGAAGCTTGGCTCCTGACGTTTTGCCCGAACCCGTCGGGGCGATTCCCACAAAGTCTCGGCCTGAGTCGATCATTAAGCCAAGCCCCTGAAATCGGAATCCGAAAAAGCAGGTCACCCCAACGCAGATTCCTCTAACAACGCTTCTGCCGTCATTCAAACCAGCCAAAAAGTGGTCTCATTTTGACAAACATCCAAATGGCTGTCCACCTTTCAGTACCCACCGGTTGTGCCGTGGAACAACACAGTTTGCACCAAACTACGATTGCTCAACTTGGCATAGCCTTTTTCGGGGATGAGGCACCACCAACACCAAATAGCTTGCCCCTGGGCTCCTTCGTAATTGCGTCCCATTCATGGGGTAGGCTCTCCGGCACTAAGTGCGGACCAACCCCTTCCCCCAACCCTGATGTGCCACCCTCCACCAGCCACCGTCCTTGCAAAGGAAACGGAAGGAGTGGGTCGAAAGAAAATTGCCGGCACCTTTCTTTGATTCCGAATCCCAAGAACATCTACTGTATATCGCTTGAAAGGGGCTTGGAATCACAAAGGGTGGCAAGCTGAAACCAACACTTTTGCAAATCCTGTCCAAGGGTCTGTCAAATCAGCAATGCCTTCTAATTACAAATCCTGAGGGAGCAACAGGTCCCTGCAATTTGCAATGGCTCACGGCAATCCAACTTGCAGTTTTCACAACGGCCAGCGCGCAACATTGTGGACTCCTTTCCGGAAAAGCTCGGGACCCGATCTGAAACACCTGCGACACGAGTCAAGCTGAAGCTTGGGGGGTCGCCCTCCGCAACTTCGCAGCGGCTGCCTTTCGAGGACTCCACAGGCTCCTCGAAGACGTCCTGGCCGAACAGCCAAGCGACTGATGGCTCCATACTCAAGCAAAAAGCCAGGTGGCACAGGTTTCTCTTGTCAGCAACCGGGACCAGTTTTGACGCAGTTTTACGCTGTGAGGCTAGGTTCAACAGCCACCAACAAATCCGCTTTTGGCTGAGGAAATAGCAGTAGCAGGCAAGGCGTGGTTGATTCAAGCAACACTGCAACAACTCACGGTCCTCTTTTTCTCCCAAACGCCATCTCGCTCACCAGCATGGTCTCCCCTAGACAACCTCAAACTTGCCATTTTCCAAACCCATTCCCGGCCCCCAGCCCAAGCACGCCTCGGGCAAGGGGCTTTGCCGCGCCAGCTCCAGCGCCGCCGCGGCCGCTGCTGCGGCCACTGGGGCCGCTGCAAAGGAGCTGGCGGGGGGCGGGCCTGCGGAAACTGGAACCTACCAGATGTCCTTCAATCAGCGTTTCTGCCAAATTACAATGGGCCTAAAGGGTGGCGTCTGAATTTCTTTGAGAGGGAAGTATAACTGCACCGGCAAAAGCCACGCCCAAAGCGGCAGTTGAAGAGAAACAGCCCCAGAAGGACCATTTCGGATTTCAACCTACCCTCATTGAGCTCAATACTCACCCTGTTTGACGAAGCTAACCGCAATCCAACCCAAAGCTAACTGGCCCTGCAAGGATTGCAAGAGTTCACCAGCCTAAAAGTCAGACCCAAAGAAGGTAAACAACGCCCGAAAGAATGAACAACCACACAATCACTGAAACACTAGGACCTGGAAACTAAGGCAGAAACACCCGCCGAACAAGATGGGTTGTATAAAGTGTCCTTCAACGGTTGTGCGCTTCAGGTGTTTGAGCCTTGCAGAGTGCAAAAGGCTTCGTTCTGTCATGGTTGCCTTTGCCACGGGATGCATTCTTCAAATCTTTCATCAAATGAAATGGTCATGAAACGTTCTCCCGTGAAACGTGCTCATCCACAAAGAGCATTTATATAATTCAATGAGCTGTCATCCTGTAGCCTGAGTTGATCCCGTGTCATCCCCAGTTTAATTCAAAGCCATCCACATCCTGCAACGCATCCATTTTCACCCGATGTCCTTCCAAGGTTGGGCTGAGTCATCCCCATGCATCCAACCTCACGCGTCATGCCCACCACCCACAGATGTCATGTTCCCTCCCCTAAGTCATCTCCAACAGTCTTGCACTGTTATGCTTTTGTCGACTGCCTGCTTGGCCGTGCTCTGGCCAGAACACGCGCACCTCCTCCACCCCGTAGCTTCAACAGCTGCCCCCAGCACTCAGCCTGACCGACTGAACAGGTTGGAGTCGGACAGCTGAGCCAACTTGGAAGTCAGAGCTGCTACTTGATTTTGATGTTCAATCGACATGAAGAGGAAACCAGCCAGGTTGTGGCCTCCCTTTTGTTGAGACAAACCGAGGTAGCACCAAACAGGTCGGCACGATGTGGTGTACTTCAAACACCTGAATCAAAGAACTCTCGGCTGACCTTCATCAACAGTCGGTCGTGATACCCCAATAGAAGGCTCTATGGTTTGCACAGAGCCGTGCAAGAGGGCCCTTGGTGGATGGCAACACGACCTGTCAGCGAAAAGCAAGAGCAACAAGTGAAAGTTGTTTTGCTTGTGTGCGGCCCAGAGTCCTTTTTGCCTGGACATGCAGAAGAATCCTTCAATGATGCATGGGCACCTCAACACGGGTATCTGGCAAACATGGTAGCCCTTCGCTCATTCAAAAGGAAGCCAAGACGCAAAGGGCCCCCAGCGACACATTGCAGCAAAGAATCAACAGGACCCAGTTTTCCTTTCACGAAGTGAGCCATAAGCAGAAACAAACGTATCAAGCATCAACAAGCGCATATGGGCCTGCCCCGAGCTGTGAAATGCATGAAGGCATCACCACACGTACGATCGCCAACGAGTGATTAGGACTACAGTAGGTATAAGCTTGTTGTAGGTTCCGGTTTGGCTCAGGATAGGCTTGCTGCCTAAACCTGGTGAATTTGATATGGGCGTAAGATGGATGTGGGCTTGGGATTCGTGTTGGCTGCGGCTGATGTTTGATGATTTGGGGTGCGGCAGTCTGACCCGAAGTCCTACATATTGGCCTGAAAGGCAAGCCGAAATTGTGTGAGGGAGTCGCCAAGTTGCAATTAACAGATAGAGCCGCTGGAGAATTGATCTGAGGCCCAAAGAAAAGAAAACAATGCTTCAGTCTATCCACCTGCCTGCCGCTTCATCCATGCAAAATTGGCCAATCTAATTACAATGGTGCCCATTTCTCTGTCCACCCGTCTCGGAGAGGTAGAGAGACAGAGACAGAGAGAGAG